AGGGTGAGGAGAAAGGACACACAAGACAAAGTGCGTACTGCACACTGTGCGGCTGATGATGATGATAACTGTTTCTATAGTTATATTCTAACTATGTAACAAGGGTTTTCAATGCATCCATCCTCAACCCCAGAACCTGAGAGGTGGGGAATCTATTCAGTGTTCCATGTAAAGCAGCCTTGGTGCCTCCCAAATATCTTGGACTACAACTCTGGGGATAATGGGAGCTGTAATCAAACACATTTAAAAGACTCTGAGCTGAGAAAGGTTGATATGAAACTTGCTACATGTTCAAACTGACAAAAAAGAATCTATATTACGTTGTGTGTTTTCTTGCTTGCAGTGGTAGCTGGGGAAACAGACAGCTAATTCTGTTGCTCCAATTTGAATGTGCTTTGGTTTTGTTACAACTTACATCTAAATGACAAAATTGTACTGTTACACTGATTCTTCCACAGTGCTCTGTCTTGCTCTAACTTTCCTTCCACTCTGTCATCTCAATGGCACTGCTTCAGAAAACATGTCCTAAAAGTTATTGTGGCTGCAGTCGGCAGGGGAGTGAACAAAGTGCATGGCATTCAGCATCCAAACTGTGTCCAACAGTGTAGTCAAGAGACTTCATGAGTTCTTAGCAAGCCCCAGCAACTGAAACACCTTCTGATCACCACAAACTCTGTTCAGCCATAAATATTTCAGAAAGGGACACAAACCCATCAAGGTTGAGGGAGGGATCACTTGATCTCTAGTCCTTTCTTCCTTTTGATCAAATGCGGCACTTTCAGAGATTTACTTCCTTTGCTGTGTTCCACTTAAATAAACTGTGCTGCTGCTCTTGCTGTCAAAAGCAGCCTGGATAACCCAGAACCACATTGGTTGAACAAGAGCTGTGCTCTTCACTAATTTAAACGATGTCAATATATTCCGTATGGCTAGACCAGTTAGGCTCCGGTTCTAAACTCTGACCATGGAACAACTCATTGGGACTTACTTCTGCATTGACATGCAGGCTTGTGTTGTTATCCCACAGTCCTATACGTGTTTGCTCTCTCCTCCACTAGGGACTTGTTTCTAAGGAGATGTGCACTGTTAGGCAGTAACCCTATACCCAGTTACCTGGAAGTAATACCAGTGGACGTGTGTTGATGGGATTTACTTGAGTAGACCCGTACTCTTATATTGTCGTTTCCCCCATACTTGGAAGTACAGTATGCCCCACTGAATTCAGTTGGAGCATCTTCTGAGTAGACATGCCTGCGATTGCATTGCTGGGCTGCAGTCCGGTGCCCATTTAGCTGGGAGCAAGGAACAACAGGATTGCCCTATAAAGTCCATCACAACAGGCACAAGGGGACTGATGGCAGAAAATGCTCTTCTTTGTGGGTCTCGACAGAAGAGATGCCTTTCCTACAGCTGTGTGTCCCAGCCAATACTTGTGAAGCAGGGCCGCCTTTGATCACAGGAAAGGCCAACAGAGGGCGCTGCGTGCTTTAGTTTTGCTGAGGGGGAATTTGCGGAGGGGTGAGAGGGATAGCCCAAGCGGAATATTTCGGTGGTTTCGAACAATTAATTCCCCATCCCACACACAAGCCCCATAAAGTGCTGGCAATGCCACTGAATGAACTCAAAACAATAGGTGCAAAAAGGATGCACACAGCGATCCTATGTTTGTTTCCCGGAATTAAGTTCAATTGATTTAATGGAGGCGGAGCTCCCTGGCAGCTAAGTGAGTATAGGATCACAAGCTAATTGGGCGCATGTCTACATCCTGTTTGCATGTCTATGCCAGATATGAGCAGGAATAGGAAAGCTAATAGTACGGGAAACAACAGGGAAACACATTCTTTTTTGACCACCGATTGCCCTGAGTGGAGATAATTCCAAATAAATAAATAAAATTAAAATTAAAATAAACAAGCTTGGCCAGGCCAGGGAGATCTTCGTCCTCCTGGGAAGTGACTAGATTTGTGGTTTTTCAGAAAAATCCATCCCACACAATTTATCTGGGAAGATCTCCATTTCAAGGAATGGAGACGTTTGCCTGTTTCTCAGAAAATCAAACCATGCAGATAAAACGGACCTATAGAGAGATTGATTCTTATCTATACTTTTATACTGTCTTATCTACCCACATCTTTGATGTACTACTTTACAAAGTCACATAAGCGAGTAAGGCAGGAAACATACACGCTTCCCCTTTCCAAGATCCGTCCTCATGGGTCTTTGCTTTATTTTTTTAGGTCTTTTCTATCGAATATAACTACGTGCATGTTCAAAATTATTTCCCAGGCCATTTTCTAAGCCTATGCAGACCAATCTTCATTTTCTGTGAGAACCGAAGACTGCTATAAAAAAAAAATCTGGCTTGTTGCTTTTTGGTATTTTCATCTTTCCTCGATTTCAGGTGCATAAGATAAGCCAAGCTATCCATCCTCTGGGGGCGGGCAAGGGGAAGTAGGTGTCAGAGAAGCTTAAGGTGGATCTCTGCCCCAAACAAGGGTATGATATGCCTGTCTTTCTCACTCTTTCTTCCTCCCCAGTACAAGTATGTGCTCGTGTGTGTGTGTATATATCTTTATCTATAGCTATAGATATATGAAATCATTCTAGCGATGTGTGGTTACCTTCAGGAAAGATTCACTGAAGGACAATTATCTGGGGATTGGGGCGGAGCGTGTCTATTCAGGAAAAAAAACCAAGCCTGCCTTTTCAGAAAATGTTCGCATGTATAGAAACACCCCGAAACAAGTAACCATGGGTAATTTTTGAACCTCGTAGAGATGTTTCAAATAAAATGGGAAGGAGATTATGGAGAGAGACAGATACGGGGTCGCGGGGGACTTTTGACTGGGCGGATGTGTTCGACTGCAAAATAACACCTTCCCTTAATTCCCAGCTACCCTTCGGTTTGATTTAACCAGCGTAAACAAAGTAGCTTGTTCTTCACGAAATGGGTGATGCCCAGGATGGTCACCTTTTTATGTCCGGTGTTTGTTTGAAGTGAGACGGGGAGGGCAGAACATACGGATTTCTTACTGCCCAGACTCGATCCTAAAAACTCTCCATATTTCTTCCAAAATGTGTTTTGGGAGAAGGACTATTCCCAACTGGAAAAAACTCAATCCAAGCCAGATACGTCAATGCGAGGGCACACGCAGGACCCTTCGGGTCTTGCTTCGTCGACACTGCTCGATTTCGTTCTCACTCACCCCCCTCCCTTTAAAATAATTTCAGGAAGTGCAGGAGAGCGTCTTTTTCAGATGAAACCTCTCACAATATCTGGGCGAAGTTGCAAGGCGTTCTTGCGTTGAAGAATGCACCCGCGTGTCGGAACAGCAACTTCACCCTTTCAGTCACTTTTTTCCGATGACATACCTCTTGGCAGAATTTTGATCAGGGCCAGGAATGTTACTATCACATCCTTCTCCTCGCTCCAAGGCTAACCCCATCTCCTAAAATACCCGGAGCTGGAGGCTCGCTTTCTTGGGATCAGTGGGAGTAAAGTTTGGCCATGCGCGGTCTTTGTTTTGGCCCAGTTCTGCTTCTGCTTGGGGCCGCGCTGCTGACGGCTTTTGGGTTGGCGATCGGGTGCCTGGACCACGGTGCGTACCTCTCCCCTTCTCTCTTTATTTTACTCTCGGGAAAGATTTCTCTGGAAAGCTTTGAAACGGATGCGTGAACAGCGCTCTCCTTAGAAGGCCACGGAGAGTCAGTCGTTTATTTTTCTAACTAGTCGAGATCAGGAGCAACTGGTAAAAGTCATGCCCCGACTTCGAAACGCTTCTCCTGCCCACGAGCCAAGGGAAGAGGGTGCCATCAGAGGACGCCCGTTTCTGACTCCTCGCCTTTGCACCAGACGGGGAGGCGACTCCGAATTAAGGGGCGGCTGACGTGCGCCCCCAGGTTCCCTGAACCACCGCTGCTCGCTCTCCCTGTCTCCAGGGATCGTTTGAGGGAAGCGATCTTGAGAGAGACACGATTTGATCGGCTGGCGAGACTGGCTAGGGCCGTGCCAAGTTTCAGAGACAGGGCGAACGCCCCCTGCCTTTTTTCCTGCCTAGAGGGGCTGCGGAGACAGCTCAGGGCGGAGTGGCCCCCTCCTTTCCCTCCCCCCCCCCGTTCCCATGTGCCCAGATCTAAGTGGCGATGGCCAGGCTGACTGTGGCTGATCCTTCCCGTCTTTCGGCCAGAAGACCTTCGAGCAGGAGAGGAAGAAGACGTGCGTGCTTGTGCGTGAGAGAGAACGGGTGGCGCGCGGGGGGGGGGGGCATCTGCTTTGTGGCAGAAGCGGTGGGATCCCTGTCATCCCCTTCCTTGTTCCTGGAGCGGTGCTTCAGCTGAGCCAACCTCCTTTTGTGCTAATAGCCTTGTCCTCATTTGCTGCCTAATTGGACTATATAAAGCCAATAAGAGGCGAGCTCTCGTAGCCTGGAGCCAAAGGACCAAATCGAAGGGGGGCGTGGATGTGTGTGCGCGTGTGGGGGAGTCGATGGGCTGCGGGGCGGGGGGGGGCAGCTGCCTGCCCGCCTCTCGCTTTCTGCCTTCGCCGCTCGCTCACTCACTCTCTCCTTTGCTTTGCCTTGCCTAGTGGCACTGGGGGAGCCCTGGTGGGGCCCAGCCGCCGCCGCCGCCGCCGCGCCCTGCCCTGCCTGATGCCGTTTGCCATTCCACGCGCCCAATCGCCGCGGACTCCCCGCAGTTAACTTGGGATGACATTTGGATTTCATCATTAGCATTCGCCGGCTTGACGCAGGAGAAGCCATCGCGGCGGCGGCGGCGGCGGCGGCGGCCCCCGCTAACTCCCCAGGCCCGCTGCTCCGAGTCGTGCCGGGGGCTGGGGCACAGCCCTGGGGTGCGTCCCCTCCGCCCCCCGTCCGGTCCTCCTCCTCCCTTCCCCCCTTCCCCCTTCCCTCCCTTCTCAATGCCATCGGCCAATTCGGAGCGACTCCGGAGCGCTGTGTGAACGCCGCCCCGAACAGGGGGGACAGTGCAGGGGGGCAAACATGCCGGAGACTGGACAGGACGCCGCCAGCAATCAAGCGCCGCCGCCGCCGCCGCCGCCGCCGTCGCAGCCCAAAGAGTCGCCCTTCTCCATCAAGAACTTACTCAATGGGGACCATCCCAAGGCATCTCCCAAGCAGCCCCGGCCGCTCTTCCCCCCGGCCGCCAAGGGGGCCCTGGAGGGGGCTGGCTTCGCTCTTTCGCAAATGGGCGATCTCGCCTTCCCACGCTTCGAGATCCCGGCTCAGAGGTTTGCTCTGCCTGCTCACTACCTGGAGAGGTCCCCTGCCTGGTGGTATCCATACAGCCTGACCCCCGCGGGAGGTCACCTGCCTAGGCCAGAAGGTACCCGTTCCCCACCCACCCATTTCACCAATCCATCAGGCGCGCGCGGGGGTCTTCAGGGCTCTGTGAAGGAGGCACACGTCTTTCTCACCGGAGTGGTTGGGCTCCATCATCTCCATGCTCTGGTCTCCTGCTGGGCCCGCTTCCCCCCGGCCGCCTCCCTTGATCATCTCGATTTCCCGGGTCTCCCCCGGACATGTTCCCCCTCCCCCAGAAAAAATTATGTCTTCCTTGCAGGTGTGAGCTGGGTCTTTCCCAGATCAGTTAGGGGACAACCCCCAAAGCAGCCTTTCCCAACCTGGAGACTTCCAGCTATTGCAGTCCACAACACCCACCATTCCCGGCCATTGGCCATGCTGTGTGGGGCTGATGGGAGCTGTAATCCAAAACCTCTGAAAGGCACGCGATCAGAGAAGGCTGCTTGGGGGGCCTGAGCGCGCATGAATGCCCGAGAGTTTCCGGTCTCTTTAAGGCTGTCGCATAGACTAGAATTTGAACTCTTGGTATGGAAAGGAGTCCCAGTTCGACCCTTGTCCCCTCCGAGGCCATTTATTACACACACACCGCACTTCAGTGCCGCGTTAGAGAACTTGACTTCCATGGGACCGGATTAAAGAAGAGGAGGCTCAGCCTTCGTGGCTCCTTCCCCCATCTCGCGCACACTTCCTTGGAAGTAAGTTCCGTCAGTGACAATCACCCCGGCTTAATTCCAGGAAAGTCTGCTCGGGACCTGCCTTTCATGAACAACCCCTAGTGTGCGACACAAAAACAGAAGCGCCAGAGAGAGGTCCCGAAGTTCACGGGCTTGGCCTCTCTGAGGTTTAGGCGCAAGTCCGCGCATTCAGGATCGGAGCCTTCGGCATCCACCCCTGGGAGGTCGATTTTTTGAGAGTACGATCCACAAGAATCCAGGGGCGCTAAGTCTCAAGCCAAACTCCGGGAATGGGGCTGCTGCTGGGAAGCGTGGGGGAAATACGTTCTTCAGTGTGAGGCTCATTCCCAAGTAAGGATGGACGGAATTGCAGCCTCTCCGTAAAAACGAAAACCGGCTCACTGTCCTAAAAGGGTCTTGCTGAACTCGTGTCAGGCGGTGGGGCTCTGTGGCGAGGGCGGCCACCTGTGCACCCTTCCTGAAAGCCGTGGGACTTGCTACTAAGTAGGGCTGCGCAGGACTGGGTCTGCCGAAGCCCCAGAAGCGCCCAGCGCCCTGATGCATTCGGGACGAAGGCTGGCGTTGTGCCGGCCGCTTAGTGTTGCAGGCAAGCGCTCGCCCTACTCGGGAGTAAGCTCCTGGAGCTCAGGGGCGCTTTCCTCCGTGTAACTGGCTGTAGATCGCAGAGCCGGGCGCGGAGGAGCCGCTTGCGGCTGGCAGCTCGGCGCAAGCCCGCTCAGCCTCCGTCTCCGTCTCTTTCTCGCTCCCCTCCAGTTTCCGTGGACAAAGCGCTGCTCAGAGACTCTTCGCCGGCCTCGGCGGGCACGGACAGGGACTCCCCGGACTCGCCCTCGCTCAAGGCCGAGCGCGACGCCAAGGAGCTCGACTCCAAGAGCCCCGACGAGATCATCCTGGAGGAGAGCGACGCGGAGGAGGCCAAGAAGGAGGAGGAGAGCGGCGCCGAGGACTGGCCCAGGCGCGAGGCGGGCGGCGGCGGCGGCGGCGGCAGCCCCGAGAAGAAGCCGGCGTGCCGCAAGAAGAAGACGCGCACCGTCTTCTCGCGCAGCCAGGTCTTCCAGCTCGAGTCCACCTTCGACCTGAAGCGCTACCTGAGCAGCTCCGAGCGCGCCGGCCTGGCCGCCTCGCTGCACCTGACCGAGACGCAGGTCAAGATCTGGTTCCAGAACCGGCGCAACAAGTGGAAGCGGCAGCTGGCCGCCGAGCTGGAGGCCGCCAACCTGAGCCACGCCGCCGCGCAGCGCATCGTCCGCGTGCCCATCCTCTACCACGAGAACGCCGGCCCCGACGGAGGGGGCGGCGGCGGCGGCGGCGGGGGCGGCGGCGGCGGGGGCGGCCCGGCGGCGGCCAGCGCCCCCGTCAGCCAGCCCCTGCTCACCTTCCCGCACCCCGTCTACTACTCGCACCCCGTGGTCACCTCGGTGCCGCTCCTGCGGCCCGTCTGAGGACTCCGCCTCGCCCAGGCCGACACGGGGCAAGCCAGGGAGCAGAAGGGGGGTGGGTTGCCGAGCGAGCGGGGGGGGGAGGAAGGAGGAGGAAGGGCGGCTTCTTGGAGGGCCAGTCTGAGCGGTCCACCCGGCCTCGCCCGCCTCTCGCAGCCCACCCGGCCGGGCCTGCGAGGCGAGGAGACCGGCCCCGCCATGGAGCAGCTGGAGCCAAGCAGAGACTGTTTGTCGTAAGTACGCCTGGGCGTTTGTGCCCTTCGTCCAAGCCGACCGTGGAGGCTCGTCGCTCCCTCCCTCCCTCCCTCCCTCCCTCCGGTCCTGCTGCTTTGGGGCCGTTCAGGAAGGAGTCAGTCCGACCCAGAATCCTGATAAGAATGTTAAAAAAGAACGATCCACGACGGAACCATCGTGCGGGCCCGGCAGAGTGGGGACCGGGGGTGCGGCGCGCGTGCTCCCTGGTTTCGATGTTTTAATTTGAATCGGTGGTGGTGGTTCTGGCGATGATTGAAACACGGACGGGCCCGAGCAAAGGAGTACCGTACTCGCTTAGGAAGAGGTGCGCGCGTTGGGTGCGACCTCGCCGAGCTTTTGCGCAGATGGTGCCAAATGTTGCTCGAGACCGGAGGGCAGGTGGGCGCTGCTCACTTGCAACCTCGCCCCCTGACGGATCTGCTACCGTCTGGACAGAGTCCGCTTGCGCTAACTCATCCGCGCGCCCCTCCCGCCCACAGCTCTGCTCTCTTCAGGCCTCTGGGGATGGCATTGACTTCTCTAGAGAGACCTATTCGTAGAAAAGTTTCACAGTGTACACTTTCTTATTTATTTTAGTTTAGTTTAGGTGTTTTCTTTCCTTCCGTCTTTGTTTCCCCTCCTCTCCCATCTTGTGACTTTTCCGCAGGACCTGCTTTTTCCTTAAGGAAAAGCTTCTCCAATTAATACCGCTGACCTGTGCAATATTGTGCAATTCTGAAAGCACTGTGGGTTTTTGTTGAAAGGCTGGGTTTATTTTCAGCATTTCACCCTTATGGGGAGGGGGAACAAGCGAACAAAATGAAGCGGGGAGACCACAAAAGGGACTAGACGCAGCTGCTGCTGATCTCCAAACTTCGAGAGAGGTCGAATGTGTCGGGCGCTTTAAGTGATGGACAATCAGTCTCTGAAGACGAATTGTAACTTATTTGCTACCCTGTACAGTTTTTCTTGTCAGTTTCAAGGAGCACGTGGGCATTTAGCCCGAATGGCGATCTCGAAATCTTTCCTGTCGGTGTCTTTCTCACCTGTTGTCTGACAAATTGTTTCCGGGCCTCCCAGAATTTGCTCCCGTCCCCCTTTCCTTTCCTTCTCCTCCTCTAGCAGGGATCGGTCCTATTTTTAAAATAATAATGCTAATAATAAATTGTTATAATAAATCAATGTCGTGGTTGGAGAGGGTGGGGGACAAATAAAGAAAACCTGTTCATTAATGATGATGACTGTGGTGGTTTTGTTTTTAAGTAACGCACATTCTTAGTAGTAGTATTAGTGGGAAGCGGGGACTTTGGGAGATCAGAGAGAACAGGTGTCTTGATTCTAGTGGCACAGCAAGCCCGCTTCACCAGCTCGGAGAGCTTGCTAAATCTGCTGGCGCAAGACAGAGGATCTATTGTTCTAAAAAGAAGCGAGTCGGCCAAGCTTTGCTTGCGCAGCAAGGACTTTTCCTAAAGTCATTTTCCTACCTGCACGTACCGGAACAAGCCTCCCGACGGGACGGCGGGCATTGTCTGGCCTTGCAGACTTGTGGATAGCCGCCTGCCTGTCAGAACTTCCACGAGGATTCTCAGGTAAATGTGCTTCTGCTCCAGAACACCTACTCAAACTCCCCCCAAACTCTGTTCAAAGAAAGAACAAAAGGACAAAACGCTTTTGCTAAATCACCTCCCTCCTACCCAGAGCAGGATCGCTGCTATTTACAGATTCTTTTGCTCCCAGTCCCTCCTGCGCCACACGGGAGGAAGAATCGGGAAGCGCGATCCAAGCAAAGGATCTAAGTTTCAGGGTAGGAAATGAAAACATGTTGATGGCGGTGCACGAGGGAAGCTTTGTCCTGCAGTGAGAGAGAGCGCATTTTCAGGGGAGGAACGAATAGCGGGCTGGCTCGTGCAGGTGCACACACGCGCTCCACGTGGTTTCCGGGCAAGAGAGCCCCACGGCGTGTTCTGTGGGAGACCGGAGGCGGCCTCGCGCGCCACGGCAGCCGAAGGGTTAAGCCCCCGAGCGTCACGCCGCCGGAGAGCCTGGGGAAGGCGAGCGCGGGGGAAGGGGCCGCAGCCTTGCTCCCCGCGCGGAGGGGGCAGCGCCGAGCGCCCCGCGCCCCACCTGCGCGCCCCGCGCCCCGCCGCGGGCCTTCTCCGGGCGCCGCGGAGCCGCGGGCAGCTCTGCTCGGGCCGGGGCGCGCTCGCCGGCAGCAGCGGCGGACGGGCCGCCTTCCCGAGCGCGCGGGGCCCGGAGGCTTCCGCCCGAGCGCCCGGGCTGTCCAGAGGCGGCGCTCCGGAGCCCCCAGCCCGCGGGGCCGGGCAAGGGCGCTTCCCCCAGGACACCTGTCTCCTCCGGCCTCACTCCCAATCCGATCTCACTCCGGTTCTTCCACGCGAATGCTTGCGCCTGCCGAGGCAGCCCCCTCTGCTCACTCCCAGGCTAAGCTCTCGCGGCTTATTTCTGGCGATCAAAGTCTTGGAAAGAAAGGGTCGGGTTTTTATTGTTCACTCCAGAGAAAATCTACCCAGATAGTACGTTTTCTTGGCTACAGATAGATAAGTATACATGCATAATTTGTTTGTTTGTTCTGCCTTTCCAGCTCAATTGGTACAGGGCGTGTGTTATTTAGCAGAACTTTTTGGCCGGGCTTGAGAGATAATATCGTTTTCCGTTTATAGAAAACTGGCATGAATCATTTTTGTGTGTTTTGTGTACATATACAGTTGAAGCAAGGTTTCATTTGAAAAGAAAAGAAACGACTGTGAAGACGAGATAACCATTTATTTTCCTTTCGTTTGGGATTAAAACCTCTCAGCCTGCGTGGTAAATGGAAAATAAACAGAAATCCAGAGTCAAAATACCATCTTCCTTGTGTCACCTACAAACACGCTGATGCCTTTTGGATGTTTGCAATACTAACTCTGGGCCAAGCCGATGGCAATCCATTAAAAGAGCCTGTTGCAATAGCAAATACCCCCTTCCACTGGCGAGCACCCTATCGGTCACAATGTTATCAAAAGCAGAAGAAAAATAACTTCTCTATTTGTGGTTAGTGCCTAGAAAACGGTTCCTGGCTCACCCTGTCTTTACTCAATCGAGAAAGGACCAGTTGGATGCAAGCACAGCTTGTTGTCCCCCTCTTATTTCTTTATCTTACTTTTATATGTTACACCTGCTGCTGTTGGTGGCAAACCTCCTTCGGTTGCCTTCCCCCGCCCCCCAGCATCCTGGATAAAAATGGCCACACTAAGACTATCAAGAAGCTCTCCCAGAGTTCAGATTTATCAGGTGCCAAGATCTGATTTTTCAGTGTTCCCTGTTATCAAGGGGTTAAAAGCAACCCTGTAACACGTTCCATCCAATGTGTCTTTAAGCTATAGAGGGAAGCCTTTCGTGGGTAGCTCCACCCTTGAGCCCTTTCAAAGGACCCAGAATTCCTCCCCTATCAGAGTTCATAAAGTCAACGAACCCTGCTCAGAAATTCAAGCTTCCATCTTGTCCAATTTCTCTGTTTATCTGGGCTTCGAAGTCAAAGACCAATCCAAAGATCAGTGCACTGGAGGAAGAGGCTGTGGAGCAGCGAGAACATGTGAGACCTTAAATCACTCTGTTGCATTTAGATCTTTTCTCACGCAAGTGCTGGATTTCCCTGGTTCTCTCTTTCCTTCAGTTTACTGACAGAGCGGGCTGAAAGAGTAGCATATCCTCTTAGGAAGGATTCCTAGATGTACCTTTCTAGTCCAAGGCCCTTCATGTAACTAGAAATTCAAGCAGGACGCACTTTTAATGGAAACTGAGGCCCTCCAAAGTCATCCATATCATAGGATGGGTGATGGTACCCCCTTCAAGGCTCCCCCCCCCAGCCCTGCTTCATTCAACAAGTGAGGCTTTAATACTACGGAGGGCAATGGGTAACGATACAAAGAACACCGCCCATACACCATGGAGCTGGCTAGGTTGTGCCGGTGCCAGTTGTAACTCAATCCCATTTATTTCAGCGACTCTAGTGTAGGCAGGGGCGGCAAGTGCCTGGGTAACTCAGGCTGCTCTTCCAAAGGGTAAAATCTCACCGAAGTCTTTTGGGGAAACTGGATTTGTCAGGATTGCTGGGGCTGTCTTCTGCCTTGGACTGCTCAAGGCTGAGGTTCTTAGCTGGATGCTGCTGGGATGAATTCAGGGCCCACCTGAATCAAGTACTCGGTTGTCCATCCTGCTGCATGGAGGCCGCCCCCAGCTCTTCAACCTGAGATCTTGCAGGTGCCTGGAAATGGACCCTTTTAGCATCCAGAACATGTATTGAGCACTATCTGTGTACAGTGAATTGGACTCTCTCTAAATGAAACTGGCTGCACCAACCTAATGGATTGTTGTGCTCTTTTTAACACAACAACGAAAAACAACAACACAAGATTAAAAATAATATCTTGGAAATCACCAAAGCTTGGATGTTTTTGGTCTCAATTCATAGGCCCTTCCTTAATCTGCAGTCACTCCAACACCACTTCTGTTTATTGCTGAAAACGGACTATGACAAATCTCTGCCTTTGTTTGGCGAGAGAGAGAGAGAGAGAGAGAGAGAGAGAGAGAGAGAGAGAGAGAGAGCGCGAGAGCGCATTTTTCATCTTCCCCTGTTTCATTCCATCCTCCCCTCATTCCTTTCTTTGAAGCCTGAGCGAACAGGGCTCGCTTGGGTGTTTGTACTAGCAACACACATGTATTTCTTTTATTTAGGAGTAAATAGAGGCTTGCTGTGTATAGAAAACAGC